TGTTCCAAGTAAAATCATTTTCACTCCAGATCGAGGTCATTATAATGATCGCTATAGTTTCGCTGGTGTGCCAACTCAAGTGGAAGTTACCATAATTAATTACAAGGACGTTCACATTGATTATGAAGATCGATTCGATGTTTCCGGTTGTTATGAAGAACCTGGAAGCTATACTTGGTTTCAACTCTTCTTTTCAAATCCTTTGATGACTGAATACAATATGGAAACAGTCAAGGAATCCACTGAAAAATTCTTGACTTCAGTCATACCAATAACTCGTATTGGTGAAATTCATGCACAAGAAGTTGATTCTAATGTATATGTTACTGTTAAGCTTTTGGATCGAGTACACTTCATTGATAATTATCGTCTTCAAGATAAAAGTAAAATTGTACGTCCTGACAATACTATCAAAAGATTTCAAGTCGAGGACTGTGAACAACTGTGCAGTTCAACTCAAGATTGTTTCGATTTTAGTTACTGTTCGGATTATGACTGTTCAATTTTTATAAAAAAACGTCATTATGGGGCTTCTGCCGAAACGAAAAACAACAAGGAATGCAAATTTTATTATAGATTCTCAAGAGTCCATGTTGAGCCATTGGTTAGCAAAGATTATTTATCGTCAATGCCACAAGTGTTACAACAGATAAGGAATAATCTCCAAGAAGGTGGATTCGAAGATGTGTTCATTGTTAATGGGCCTGAAGAGATTGGTGACATTTCCCAAGAATTACATAGACCCTCAATTCCTTTAAACCTTCAAGAGGTGAAGATTTTCCGATCATTAAAACTGATCGCCATTTCAATGAAGGACAATTCAAGATTGAGAAAAGTACTCTTAACGAATGTTTCATGGCTTGTGTCAATGATGATGATTGTAACACACTTTCATATTGTGTTAACCAGAATAAGGAATGTATTCTGAGTGGAGAAACATCGAGTTCGTTGAACGACACATTCGACGACAAAACAAGCCATGCAGATGGATGTAACATTCATCAAAGTAAATTCATTATCCCATTAATTTGTTATTTCTTGAATTAATTTTGTTCCTCAATTTCAATCCAGAATCATTTATCAATCTATTCCATGAGTATCCTGGAAAAAATCTAGTTCTGGATGCCGTCTCAACCATATCTGATGTACCAATTGGTGATTGCGCTAAAAGATGTGCTCAATCGAATGATTTCAATTGTGAATCATTTGATTACTGCCAAGATAATGATCAAAGGTAAGTCGAAACTTATCACAAAATTTTTTATCTCTTATGTTAATAATGGACTTGGATACAAATCATAAATAGTTGATTCGCAATCAGATTGGTTACAATCGTGACAATCGATTAAAGCATAAACCAGACAATTAGATAATTAATGAGATGAGAAACGCATAAAGATACAGACTTATTATTGAATAAGTTTATTAATAACGTAATGAAGCAGCTATGAAATAGCCTTATGAGTAGGACTCAGCTTCAAACTTATGACTCGAGTTTACTCATCCTATGGTATTATTGATAATGATACTCGTAAAGTTATTGTAACATTATTGTGTATTCATCTATGAACTGATCTGATGAATTTTCATTCCAATTTTTATCCAGAAATGAATCTCTTTGTTTCTTACATGTTAATCACATTGTGATAGATAAAGCTCATCAATTAAATTCAACAAACTGGAAGTATGCTGAAGCCGGATGTTCCCATTACTCAAGTAAAAACCATTTCTTTAATCCAACCTTTGTTAAAATCTGGTCAATATTTACTAATTACTCAATCTTTTTACTTTTTACAGAAAAATCTGAACTTGAGTATGAACATAAAGTTGGACTTGCATTGAAAGATGATATGAAAGAATCGATTGTTGGAACTTTTGACCATACATTTTTAGAACACTGCGCTTCCGAATGCAATTCAGATCCTAATTGTTTTACCCTCGAGTTTTGTGAAACAATTGATTATAATCAAATTTCCAATAGTAGTGTTTCATTATCGAGTTGTACATTGACCAATTTAAAGCCAAATAATGTTAATCAAACTCAACTATTTGAAGAACCGAAAAGCGACAAAAAAATTTGCTCAATATACATCAATCATAAGAAAATTACAGAAAATAGCAAAACTAATACATCTGAATCATCAACGAAAACATCAAAGAAATCAAATAACTTCTCTTTAACAATTGGGTTGAGCACAATAGTATTTATATTGGCGTTTGCTGCTGGATTCACTGGATTTAAATTTATTGTCAAGAAAGGATTTTTTAAAAAAACAGATTCAAACATGACTATTCCAATGATACCAACCGTGCGAACTAGATCTTGAAATATTACCTGTAAGTCAAATGGCTACATGATGATAATGATGAAACATTGTATAAAAAGACGATATTGATTAGTAGTTGCTAGGTCGTCTGTAATTATGTTTTGGTATCTTTGATTATTAAAGATATTTTTTCATACATTTTAAACTAGTTTTATTGTAATTATTTTAAATGATTAATTCTACATGTACATCTAAACCAACTTTTAAACTAAATCTATCAATACCATTTAGCATATCTATTTTTATTTCAAATATTTCATTGCATATTGTATGTGTACTTAATGAATATGAGAAAAGCACTTTACTAACGCTCTCTTAGCCCCGGAAAATACTTTTGATTTAACCTGGTTGAGTATCAGGTCGATTTAACTCGTCGTTATTTCCGTATTCAAACAAAAGTGTAGCTGAAAAATAGGTCCAAATGACCAATTTCATGTAATGATAAATATCAGAACAAAATTCGTAATAGCAGGTTTGGCGCAAACCCGTCTTTTAGTTTGTCTGTAAATGTAATCAAAAGAATGAAAAAAATAACATTGAAGGGTAGAGTTACCCAAAACCAAGTTAATCATTCGGTTAATTGATAAAAGTTAAAGTTTTAAACTATTGGTTAATATCCGTTGAGATTGCAAATCTTTCATTTTCTTTATTTCATAATTTTCTTTAACAAAATTTGTAATCTCCCGAGACTAAGTCTTATGATTTTTGTCTTCCTTCATTTTTGTCTTTTTTGATTAATTTACAGTCTAAGACTCTGTCTAAAATGACTTTCTCATTTTGTCTAATTTTGTCTAAGACATCAAAATTTCCTTTTCCTTTAGAATAATTTTCATTCTATTTCCTTCCGTATTAATTGGTATAAATACCAGAAGTTTTCTAATTAATATCTAACTATTATGTTCAAGTTAAGTTCGTTCATTCCTACTCACAGTACTTTAATATTGTCATTTATGTTTAAAACACTCTTTGGAAAGAGAAATGCTAAAAACCCTTAAATTTATGTTTAATTAAAAGTTTCCTTTTTTGATTATAACTCAAGAGTCTAAGACTAAGTCTGTTTGCTTCATTGTTAACATTTGTGTTTTCTACCATTGTGATAAAGTTCAAGTTTTGAGTAAAACTTGACCAACGAGATTGTACATTTTCAAGACTAAGTCTAAATTGAAGTGTAAATGCTGATAGAGCTGAAAGCTTTTGAACTCTTAATTATCTTTGTGATATTCCTGAGTGAACTTTACTGTTCAACATTGAGCTTATTTTGGCTTGAGATTGGTTTCTCTGGTTAAGCTTTCTGACTCGTGCCTGTTTTAGCTTAATTACTCATCTACCTGGTCTAAGACCTTTTGAGTCGACAACATTCTTTGGTCAAAATTGTGGTTTCTAATCCTTCTCATCTTACGAGTAATCCGTAGTCTAAGACTAACAGTTGAACTCTGGTGATCCTAAAAGAACCTGAGTATTCAGGATTTGAAAGGCTTGAATAATCTTCTGAAGTGAATAAATTGTGTTTGATTTGTACGCAATTGAAGTGAATTTATTTAATTTGGTTAACTTAGTTTAAAACTTTGAACTCTTCCTTTCAAATGGTTTGAACATAATAACATTTTATTTTCAAAATAACTCAGCTAAGTTAAATCTTTGATGAAAAGAGGTTCTTTCAAACGGTACATAACAAAATAATTGGGAAAATATTGAAGGAAATGAAAATAGCAAACAGATTCTTGTAGTTAAATGTGCAGATTAGTTGTAATAAGATTTGATTAAATATGATCAATTGCTTTTATTATAATAACTTTTAATTTAACATGTAATATTCTGAATTTTACTTTTGGATAATAAACCATTGGATAGAAACCAGTTTGTGAAGAAATCAATGAAGTTTGAAAACAAACTACGAAACAAGTCTAAAGTTATACCAAACGTTATCAATTGTTCAATGTAACATCTTGCTCATTGTAAACTGGAATACTACCAGCAAACACTTGCAAGTCGAAATCACTTGTAGATGCATCAATACTGATTCTTGAATTACCCAAAACAAGAGGAGTGGCCCATGAGCACATTTCGGCATTGTTCACGGTTGATTGTGTGATCTGTTGATCGACAGCAATTTGTTCATTGCCATTGCTGATATAACCACGTACATCTTGCTTCAGGAAACATTCAAATTGTAATTTACTTCCATCTTTTCTAGTTAGAGTTACAGTCATATCATTATCACTGTATTTCCAGTAATAAAGTCGATAGCGTATTTGTTTTTCGGTTTTGTCAAAAGAGAGAAGAAACCTTTCATTACCATGAACCTTATTGCAGCACTTGAGATATTGAGCGTGATAGATTGGAAGTTGACTAATGTCTTGAGCGACTATAACTTTCTTTGAGTCGTGATAAAGTGTTATCGACTGTTCAATGTCTTTAATCATATCTGCACCCTTTGGCCAGATATTACCATTAAAATTGAGAGTCCAGGTACAGGATAAAACACCATCCTTGTAAGACGATGATCCAGTTATCGGCATGTAGGTGAGAAGATCAAGCCTTGCATCAGTTTGGCCATCAGAAGATTTATATCAAATGTATGCATATTGACGAGAACGATGAGGATTAATTCTAACTTTGATTGTCTTCTTATCATCTGACGCTACATTGTAGCCTTGCAGGGTTAATTGAAGTGAGTCGTATTTACCAAAGACTGAAATCACTTGGAACTGAGCTGTAACCAGATTATTTGCTGAGCAAACACCAGAACCATCACTTGATATACAATAAGTTTTAGTTAAACATTCATCATTACATGAATTATTAGCTTCAACTTGAAGATTGATGAAGAAAAGAACGAACAAAAACGAGAAATACATTTTTCAATGTTTTCAAGAACTGACAAGTTCTCTCATCTAGTTTGACGCTTTTAAAGCTTTGGAATCGGCTGATGACTAATGGAAAATTAAGGCGTAAATTTTATCGACTATTTTTTAATAGACCAAATCTATTTTCCCCTTTAAATTTTGGTGTTTATACATTTATATTGTTTCTTTACATAAGCAAGATGCAAAATTTTGATAAATTAACTTAATTTGTTAGTCTTGATATACTTGAACCTCCCAACTAAATAATCATGAGATGAAACCCCCTGAATGATGAATACTCTCCAGCGCTCTCTTAACATTATTCTATGGTGGATAAACATCAGAATTCGAAGGTGAATATAGATTCGATTCATTGATAAATTGTCGATAAAACCAATCAATGCGTTATTAAAATTTACGCCTTAATTATTCATCACTCATTAGTCATTTCCACAGCTCAAAAATAATGCTAACCTTAGAATTTGCACCTTCAAACTGAAACCTTCGCTTAACACATTTATCATTCATGGATTTTCATCTCATGATTATTTAGTGGGGAGAAATGAGTATATTAAGATTAACACATTAAGTTATGAGTTAAAATTTATCAAAATTTTGCATCTCGCTTATGATTTCAATATTCTCTGGCAAAAACATCAAAATTTAAAGGGGAAAATAGATTTGGTCTATTAAAAAATAGACGATAAAATTTACGCCTTAATTTTCCATTAGTCATCAGCCAATTCCAAAGCTTTAAAAGCGTCAAACTAGGTGAGAGAACTTGTCAGTTCTCGAAAACATTGAAAATGTATTTCTCTTTTTTGTTCGTTCTTTTCTTCATCAATCTTCAAGTTGAAGCTAACAATTCATGTAATGATGAATGTTTAACTAAAACTTATTGTATATCAAGTGATGGTTCTGGTGTTTGCTCAGCAAATAATCTGGTTACAGCTCAATTCCAAGTGTTTTCAGTCTTTGGCAAATATGATAATCTCCAATTAACCCTCGAATCTTCCAATGTACCAGTCCATGCTGAAAAATTGATGAAAGTCAACATTCGAAGAGGTTATTCTCGTGAAAGTGTGTTCACTTGTCATAAAATTGCTGATGACTTGGCTTATGCACAGTTTGATGCAGACAACTACGCACCAATAACTTCAACATGGTCTGTCAAGGATGGTGTTGTATCTTGTACATGGACTCTCGATATGCATGAACTTATTTGGCCACATGGTGTAGATATGATTAAAGACAGTCAACAATCAATAACACTCATTGACGAATCACATAAAGTCACAGTTGCTAAAGACACTAGTCAACTTCCAATTTATCACGCTCAGTATCTCAAGTGCTGCAATAAGGTTCATGGCAATGATGGTTTTTTGCTCACTTTTGACCAAATTGAACAACAAATACGCTATCGACTTTATTATTGGGGTCACAGCGGTAAACATGTGACTGTATCTTTAACGAGAAAAGATGGAATCGAATTAGAATTTGAATGTTATCAGGATTACGGTGTACTTGGCTACATAAGAAATGGTACTGAACGAATCTCTGTGGAGCATCAAATTACACAAACAATGAGTTTGAACAATAATGAAGTATGTTCATGGGCCACTCCTTTTGTATTGGGCGATTCAAGCATCAGTATTGATGCATCTACCACTGTCTTTGAATTGAAAGTGAGAGAAGGCGATTGGAAATTTTACACTGAAAAAGATGTTGTATTGAAAAACTCGCCAAAACTTTAGTAATAAAATAAATTTATTTTGCATAAATCTTCTGTTTGCATTTTACTTTTAAAATCGTATTTAATTTGTTTTAGTTTAGTGCCTTTGGAAATGCCTTTGCATCGCATTTAGCAGGATTAATCCAGCCTACTCGGTCCCGTTTAGTGGAGGTAAAGGATTGGTCTTAGTGAAGGCCTAGCCAATGCCGATCTTACAAAAGTTCGGGTTTGATGTTATCCAAAATATTCGCCTCCTTGGTTTGAGACGGATTGGTTAATTTTGCAATTTCATTGCTGTAACCTGTTGTTTTGCTAACCAGAACTAACCATCCTTATGTGAATAAATAAATTGCAAGAAAGCTTTTACATTTAAACCATTTTTGTGACGAATTCTAGTCAATTTGAGTTAATTTTCAATTCATTTTAGATGTATTCATTATAATCCATTTTGAAGAATATGAAAATTATCAAATATTATTTTGCATGAAGGTAAAAGTTTTATTTTAATTGCTACTCATTGATTAATAAGCATGCAATACAATTATTTAT